CATCGGGCTCCCTGCTCAGCAGGGGGTCTGCTTCTCCCTCTGATCCTCTTCCCTCTCGTGCTGTCTCTCATTCTCTCTCAAATAAATAAATAAAATCTTAAAAAAAAAAAAAAAAAGTCTATCCAAGAATCTAACCTACAGAAAATCTTACAGAAGTCAGTAGGTGTTGTATTGAGCATTCTTGTATGCATGTGTATTTGTAATAAAAATGAGATGATAGCAAATAGAATGAAGAAATGAAGTAAAAGGGGACTACATACGGACTCATGGATTTTTTTGTCACTACTGGTAGAACAAGAACAAGAGCTTGGCATGCCAGGAGAAGGCCCAGATAAGAGAAGAGCTGAGGCAATTAGGAAGCACGCATAAGCACTTAGGCTACATATCAAAGTAGGGTGCTTATTGTGAAGGAAAGCACTGTATGACTGAATTGCTAACTGAACTAGCCATTGTCTTCATGAAACACTACCTAAAAGAATGACTGACAACCTGTGGTTCTTCAGACTTGTGTATTTGGCAGACATTTCTCAAAAACAAATGAAATACCTGTCACTTCAAGGAAAGTGACAGTATTTGTTGATAGTGTTAAAAATTGAACTTTCAAATGAAAACAATTTTGGAAAATTTTTATCCACTCACACTGTCTGTGGTGATACTAATGGATTTGGTCTTCTAAAATTCTATAGTGAAATGTGTTAAATGTGTTAACATTTGGAAGATTTGTGGAATTCAGTGGACTACTACTTTCCAAGTGACCAAATTCATAATGCTACAAAAACACACATGGGTAAAGGATCCATTCAGAGTTTAATATAGACTAGATGGATTTTAATGTAGAAATACAAAAATAATACGGTTTCAGATTCCACATTGCAACTAACGTTTGAGAAACTACCATTTGTTGAGTTTTGGTGTAATATCATAAAAGGCCATTCACTCCATTTATATGAAATGTCCAGAATAGGCAAATCCATGGAGATAGAAAGTAGATTAGTGGTTGTCAGCCCCTGGGCAGAAAAGAAGAATGGAGAATGCTGCTAATGGATGTAGACCTTCTCTCTGGGGTGATGAAGATATTCTGGAATTTGATAGTGGCGATAAATTAACAGCTCTGAATATGTGAAAACCATTGAATAGTGCACTTTAAAAGGGTGAATTTTATGGTATGTGACTTATATCTCAAAAAACTGTACTAAAAAAAAGATCTGTAATATTAAAATATTCCTCCCTTTCCAACTATCTCTGTAAAGCTGGATTTTCTTCACTTTAATCAAAAACAATGTATCACAACATTAAATGCAGCTACCTTCTTTTAAGCTAGATGGTAGAGAGTTGCACAAATGTAAAACAATGCCATTCTTCTCTGAATTTTTTTGGTTTTAAAAGTAGTTTTCATAAAAGTACTATATATTATTTTGAGAACCACTGACCTAAAGAAATGTATTTGCAAATTGTACACCTTTGCAAAAAGAATTCTTGAATTGTCTTTTACTTGCATTTGTAAGTTAAAATTTCTCAGTGTATTTGCCATGTTAAATTTCGTGATTATAAAAGACTTACTGGCTCAGAATTTGTTTTTTATTCTATAACCTAACTGAATTTGTTTTTCCTCCCAACAGGATGTAGAAAATATATTTAGTCGTATAGTAGATATACATGAACTTAGTGTAAAGTTACTGGGCCATATAGAAGATACTGTGGAAATGACTGATGAAGGTAGCCCCCATCCCTTAGTAGGAAGCTGCTTTGAAGACTTAGCTGAAGTAAGTACTTTAATTATACACCGAAAAAAGTCTGTATAAAAGCTCTACACTTGCATTAAAATTGGAATCTTAATTCTTGTTTCCATCTGAAATCATAGATATTAACTGCTAACTACTCTCTCATACTGTCCATTCCTCAGAGGCTCGTTGTCAACATTTGTTTCTATTATCTTATGAAACCCACAAAAAAAGTAGTCTCATCCATTATAAAAAAGCAGATCCCACAGAGGGGAGGCATTTACAGCTGACAGTCCATCATCTTGTCTTTTATAACAAAGCTAAGAAAAGTCCATGAATGCCGTCATTGAAGAAGCCACGGAAGTTGGACCTGAAGTTAGACTACTTGTGTTCCAACCTCAATTCTGCTACTTAGTTGTATGTGACTGTGGGCAATTTATCTCCAATCTTTAAATCCCCATATCTGTATTTCTAAAATAGGGATAATAATAGTAGGACTCAGGATTTTTGTGAAAATTAAAGTAACCTACCTAAAATATTTAGCTAACCACCTTCACACAGTAAGCTATTCAATATATGATAACTGTACATTATTATTTAGAATAGGAGGAGTGAAATGAATAGGAAAATCAGGTCTAGGACCTAGATGAATAAAATGTTATGGGGGTGGAAAAACAGTAACCTTCTCCGTGGGTATTAAAATGCTAAAATATAGGATTTAGTCCTAATAAGTTAGCATTGGTAGTCATTCTGAGATTTTTAGCTCTTACTTTGTTCTTACTCTAAAATCCACAAATACAGGGTTGAGTTTGTAAAACAAAAACTTAAGATTTCCAGCTAAATAGTATGGTGAATACTACCTAAGCTTCATGACAGCCCCTCCACTCTTGCTTCAAACACATAGAAGTCGTAAAGTGTTTCTGTTTTTTTTTTAAAGGAATATACATAACTAGACTCAAAAATAAGATCAGAGATAGGGTAAGCATTCAAGGTAATGAGCTCCGGTAGTTGGGTGTTCAGCTCTTGAGGATAATGAAGACTAAATGTGCTCCATGAAAGTGAGCAGGACTTCTTGCTTCAAGACCCTGATTGTAAGAGGATGCTGGGGAAATCCCATCAACTTCCTCCCTGCAAGGTTCTATAGGAAGTCGTGGACTTGAGATAGGGAAACAGAAACACTGCCTTATAACAAAAATACTTTAAAACTTAACAAATTATCTTACAATATTGAGCCAGTATGATTACAGAGCCTGAGACCCCAAAATCACTTACAGAGCAGGTTCAGGTCTAGAAGAGTGACCATAAAGGGATGGGAGAGAAAAAAAGGAAACCAAAAACTAAAAGCCTCCCCCTAAGAAGTCTGCATAATACAGAATTCCAAAATACATGACAAATTCTAATGTTTAGAGTGCTACCTAACAAAATCAACAACTAGAAAATAAATTCATTCCTGATTAAATTAATTTTGTATAATAGACATGCAGAGTTTAAAAAAGAAGTTTAGGATGCTCAGAGATAAATACAGAAATATGAACCATTTATAAAGACGATGTTGTGAAACAAAAATAGGTGGAAAGAAAATAACAGGTAAGTATCAAACAATTAGGGATATTGGGAATTAAATATAAATAAAAACTCAATATGTAGTAAACATTTGCTAAACCTAGTTCAAGGAGAAAATGAATGAATTGGAAAAAGGAATTGAGGAATTCACTGAAAATGTGACACAGAGAAACCACAATTAGAATATGAAAGGATAGCTAAGAGTAATAAAGGCTACATTGAAGGGCTTTAATATCATCTAATAGTTTCAGATAAAGAATGATGGAGAAGAAATATTTGAAGAGGTAAAAATTGAGAATTTATCAGAAATGAAGACCTGAGTTCCCAGATCAGAAATGAATTCCAAATACTGGACAGGATAAATAAAAATAAGCCTACAGCCAAAAACATGGTGAAACTATAGAACATCAAGGATAAAGAAAAAATCTTAAAAGCTGTGAGAGAGAAGAGAGTAGTACTTGAAAAGGAACTACAATTAGAATGACAGAATGCTTCTCTTTAACAAGAGAGGCTAACAGTTGAGTGGTAGCTTCAAGTACTAAGCGAAAATAGAACTTTCTGCCCAATTAAACTTTTATTCAAGAGTGAGTTCAAACTTTAAGATAATAAAGTTTTCAGAAGCAAATGTAAGAGATCTTCATAACCTTAGAATAAGCAAAGCTTTCTTTAAACAAGACACTAAAACCATGAAAAGATTGATAAACTGGACTTCATTAAAGGTAAACATCTGTATCAATAACCAAAATTAAGAGAGTGCAAAGGCAAGCTGTAGATGGCGGGACAATATTTGTAGCATCTATAGCCAATGAAGGACTCCTATCTAGAGTATGTAAAATCAGTAACTTAAAGACAGCTTGTTTTTTTTAGAAAATAGACAAAAGACCTAAGCAGGTATTTCCTGAAAAAAGAAAAGGTCTTCAACATCATTTATTCATCAAGGAAATGCAATTTAAAACCATTGAACAGTTGGAGCTCTACATTGATGGTGGATGGGATATAAATTGGTACAGCCCCTTCAGTAAAATGTTTGGCTTATCTACTAAAATTAAGCATACACTGTACCGAATGATCCAGCAGTTTCACTCTTGGGCATATACCAAACAAAAATGAGTGCCTGTGTTTACCAAAAAACATGTTTAAGAATGTTCATAGCAGGTTTATTCATGATGGATAATTTGTCACATATTCACACAGTGAAATGCTATATGGCAATTAAAAAAAAATGAACTACCAATTTTAAAAAAAGGGCAACAGGGGCACCTCGGTGACTCAGTCGTTAAGCGTCTGCCTTCAGCTCAGGTCATGATCCCGGGGTCCTGGGATCGAGCCCCGCATCAGGCTCCCTGCTCCGCGGGAAGCCTGC